ACTATGGCGGAGAATGGTTTGGAAGAGTCATCTGAGGGAAGGGATCAGAAGGAGATCCCATCGGCCGGAAGGCATGGGATGCATTGTTCTAGGGATGGGGGTCCCATGACCACCACTCTCAAGAAAAGACGGATGGTGGTGCTCGGGGACTCCCTTCTAAGGGGGATGGAGTCATCCATCTGCCGTCCAGGCCGGGAAACTCGAGAAGTGTGCTGCTTGCCTGGAGCTAGAATTCACAATGTGATGGAGTGTATGCCAAGACTGATCGAGCTCTCAGACCGCTACCCCTTCCTACTTCTCCACATGGGCACCAATGATACTGCCAAGAATGACCTTGAGCGGGTCACTGCAGACTACATGGCTCTGGGAAGAAGGATAATGAAGTTTGAGGCACAAGTCGTGTTCTCGTCCATCCTCCCTGTTGAAGAAAAAGGCCCAGGTTAGGGACCATCAAATTGTGGAGGTAAATGCGTGATGTCAGAGAGAGGGCTTTGGATTCTTGGGCTATGGGATGATGTTCCAGGAAGGAGGATTGCTAGGAGGAGAGGGAAGAGCATCTTCGCAGGCAGGCTTGCTAACCTAGTGAGGAGGGCCTTAAACTAGGTTTGCTGGGGGATGGTGACCTAAGCCCCGAGGTAAGTGAGGAAGTGGGATACTGGGAGGAAACACCAGGAGGAGGGTGCAACAGGGAAGGCCACCTGATTCATACTGAGAAAGTAGGGCAATCGGCTAGTTATCTCAAGTGCCTGTACACAAACGCAAGAAGCCTGAGAAACAAGCAGGAAGAATTGGAAGTCCTGGCACAGTCAAGGAACTATGATGTGATTGAAATAACAGAGACTAGGTGGGGTGACTCACATGACTGGAGCACTGTCATGGATGGGTATAAACTGTTCAGGAAGGACAGGCAAGGGAAAAAAGGTGGAGGAGTTGCACTGTATATAAGAGAGCAATATGATTGCTTAGAGCTCCAGTATGAAACTGGAGAAAAGCCTGTTGAAAGTATTTGGGTTAAGTTTAGAGGCGAGAGCAACAAGGGTGATGTCATGGTGGGTGTCTGCTATAGATCACCAGACCAGGAGGATGAGGTAGACGAGGCTTTCTTTGGACAACTAACAGAAGTTTCCAGATCACAGGCCCTGGCTCTCATGGGGGACTTCAATCACCCTGACATCTGCTGGGAGAGCAATACTGCAGTGCACAGATAATCCAGGAAGTTTTTGGAGCGTGTTGGGGACAACTTCCTAGTGCAAGTGCTGGAGGAACCAACTAGGGGCCGTGCTACTCTTAACCTGCAGCTCACAAACAGGGAAGAATTGGTAGGGGAAGTAGAAGTGGGTGGCAACCTGGAAATCAGTGACCATGAGATGGTCAAGTTCAGGATCTGGACAAAAGTAAGAAAGGAGAGCAGCAGAGTATGGACCCTGGACATCAGAAAAGCAGACTAACTTTCTTAGGGTACTGATGGGCAGGATCCCCTGGGAGGCTAATATGGGGGAGGAAAGGAGTCCAGAAGAGCTGGCTGGATTTTAAAGAAGCCTTATTGAGGGTGCAGGAACAAACCATCCTGGTGTGCAGAAAGAATAGCAAATATGGCCAGCGACCAGCTTGGCGTAACAGAGAAATCTTCCGTGAGCTTAAACACAAAATGAAGCTTACAAGAAGTGGAAACTTGGACAGATGACTAGGGAGGAGTATAAATATATTGCTCAAGCATGCGGGGGTGTAATCAGGAAGGCCAAAGCACAATTGGAGTTGCAGCTAGCAAGCGATGTGAAGGGTAACAAGAAGGGTTTCTACAGGTATGTTAGCAACAAGAAGGTGGTCAGGGAAAGTGTGGGACCCTTACTGAATGGGGAAGGCAACCTAGTGACAGATGATGTGGAAAAAGCTGAAGTACTCAATGCTTTTTTTGCCTCGGTCTTCACAGACAAGGTCAGCTCCCAGACTGTTGCACTGTGCAGCACAGTATGGGGAGGAAGTGAGCAACCCGCAATGGTGAAAGAACAGATTAAGGACTATTTAGAAAAGCTGGACATATACAAGTCCATGGGGCTGAATGCAATGCATCCAAGGACGCTAAGGGAGTTGACTGATGTGTTTGCAGAGCCATTGACCATTATCTTTGAAAACTCGTGGTGATCAGGGGAGGTCCCAGACTATTGGAAAAAGGCAAATATAGTGCCAGTCTTTAAAAAATGCAAGAAGGAGAACCCATGGAACTACAGACCGGTCAGCCTCAAGGAATCCATTTTGAAGCACTTGGAGGAGAGGAAGGTGATCAGGCACAGTCACATGGATTCACCAAGGGCAATCCATGCCTCACCAACCTGCTTGCTTTCTATGATGAGATAACTGGCTCTGTGGATGAGGGGAAAGTGGTGGACATGATATTCCTTGACTTTAGCAAAGCTTTTGATACCTCTCCAACAGTATTCTTGCCAGCAAGTTAAAGAATTATGGATTGGATGAATGGACTATATGGTGGATAGAAAGCTGGCAAGATCGTCAGGCTCAATGGCCAGTGATCAATATCTCAATGTCTAATTGGCAGCCGGTATCAAGCGGAGTGCCCCAGGGATTGGTTTTTGGGCTGGTTTTGTTCAACATCTTCTTTAATGATCTGGATGATGGGATGGATTGCACCCTCAGCAAGTTCGTGGATGATACTAAGCTGGGGGGAGAGGTAGATATGCTGGAGGGTAAGGATAAGATCCAGAGTGACCTAGCCAAATTGGAGGATTGGGCTAAAAGAAATCTGATGAGGTTCAACAAGGAGAAGTGCAGAGTCCTGCACTTAGGACGGAAGAATCCCATGCACTGCTACAGGCTGGGGACCAACTGGCTAAGTGGCAGTTCTGCAGAAAAGAACCCGGTGATTACAGTGAACGAGAAGCTGGATGTGAGTTAACAGTGTGCCCTTGTTGCCAGGAAGGCTAACGGCATATTGGGCTGCATTAGAAGGAACATTTCCGGCAGATCGAGGGAAGTGATTATTCCCCTCTATTCGGCACTGGTGAGACCACTTCTGGAGTATTGCGTCCAGTTTTGGAGCCCCCACTACAGAAAGGATGTGGACAAATTGGAGAGAGTCCAGCAGAGGACAACGAAAATGATTAGGGAGCTGGGGCACATGACTTATGAGGAGAGGCTGAGGGAACTGGGGTTATTTAGTTTGCAGAAGAGAAGAGTGAGGGTGGATTTGATAGCAGCCTTCAACTACCTGAAGGGGGGTTCCCAAAGAGGATGGAGCGAGGCTGTGCCCAGTGGTGGTAGATGACAGAACAAGGAGCAACGGTCTCAAATTGCAGTGGGAGAGGTCTAGGTTGGATATTAGGAAACACTATTTCACTAGGAGGGTGGTGAAGCACTGGAATGGATTACCTAGGGAGGTGATGGAATCTCCATCCTTAGAGGTTAAGGCCCGGCTTGACAAAGCCCTGGCTGGGATGATTTAGTTCAGTGGTTCTCAAACTTTTGTACTGGTGACCCCTTTCACATAGCAAGCCTCTGACTGTGACTCCCCTGATATATTAAAAACACTTTTTTATATATTTAACACCATTAGAAATGCTGGATGCAAAGCGGGGTTTGGGGTGGAGGCTGACAGCTCGTGACCCCCCCCATGTAAGAACCTCATGACCCCCTGAGGGGTTCCGACCCCCAGTTTGAGAACCCCTGATTTAGTTGGTGTTGGTCCTGCTTTGAGCACGGGTTGGACTAGATGACCTCGTGAGGTCTCTTCCAACCCTAATCTTCTATGATTCTATGGTTCCCATTCCAGTGCTCCAGCCACTAGACCGCCCAGCCACTAGACCGCCCTGCAGCTCTAGATTAAGCTTTACATTAGCCTTTATTCCTAGAACAGTCTGAATGGCTGTCAAGTTGTACCTGTGTGTGCATTTGAATCAAACATGGCTACACAGCAGGAACATAGTCACGACTCACCGAGAGAGATAGCATTTAAGATGTGCCCTCACATGAGACACCTCAACAAGGGCATGATCCAGAACCAAAGTCAATTGAAAAGGCCCTAACTATATATGATGTGCTTTATTGCTAACAGAAATTTTCCCTGTATCAACCAAGACAGGTCGAGAAAAGTGGTAGAGATGGAAGAGTGCAAGCCTGTGAACACCAGAGTTCATTCTAGCCTGCTGAGTCAAGGATTTATTTGTGGGGGTGGTTTTGGGGATGTGGAAGGGGATTAAACCCATAAACATGACACAGTCTCCCCAAAAGCTATCTGATCGCAGTAGCCTCCAGTCACTACCTGTCCATGGAGCTATTCAGTCCTGAATGCCTGCCAGGCTCACAGAAAATGTGGGGGGACGAGAGAGGGGGCAGTTAAAGAGACTGCCAAACCATTACATTTGGATGAGAAAGCAGACTGGATGGGCTACAGACAAACTCCATCTTTTCATATCGTTTCTTTGCTTGCTGTGACACTTCAGTTTAGTGTTCATTAGTTATTAGTTCATTTCCACACTGGACTAGACAGCACATCATGTGAAGGTGTTCCCTTAATGTGGCCGTTGCGTTGTAGAACTGCAAGCATTTCTTTTTACCTGAGTAACACAGCGGTAGTGCTGTTTCCATTCTTGCTTGTCTCATTGGCATTCCCACCAGTAAAGTCTGTACGAGCAGCAGCGAGTCTCGGCGCCTGGGTCCACAGACTGGGGCTCGCACTGTAGTGCTAAAAATAGCTGCAGATGTTCAAGCTCAGATCCCAGAGCGGGCGTCAGAGCCGGAGCCCAATCATCGACACAGCTATTGTCGGCTCGAGTCTGTAGACCCGGGCTCTGAGACTCATTGCCGCGGGCTACTGCTTGTGTAGACGTACCCTAAATTCCCAGGACAGGCTGGCTTCCAGCACACTAGTAGCCAAGTCACAGTTTATGGATTCCTATATTCCCAGGAGCTCATCTATTCTAAGCAATCAGCCTGGGAAGTCCCAGGACATACCTTGATAGAAGGCACATTCGAGCCAGTGTATTTACCTGAGTGGGGTTATTCCAATGCGTAGGAGTTGGCTTTACTGGATTGGCGCTGAGCTTTATAGCTCTGGCGTCTTCTCCCTGCAGAGAAGGCCTCAGGAGCAAGTTGAGCTTTTGGAAAAGAACGTGAGATGTTAGTGGGTCCCTTCAGCATTCTCATGTACAGTTTGAGCAGGACATCCCCTCAAAGCATCCGAGTAAGGGTTAGGACAGTCGGGGTCCAACCCCATACGGAAAAAGCACATACCAACTTCTGATGAGGTGAACATCGTGATGTACAGACTTGAGGTAAATATGGAGAGATCTATACACCGTGCTATTAAACATTGGCCTAGCAGGTGTCAAGTGTTTTGGGCAAAGAGTAAATTCACCCCAAAAATGCTATTAATGAATTCAGCTCAAATTTGGCAAAGAGTTTCAGCCCAAAACCAATTTTGAAAAGGTTAAATCGATATTCCATTCCAGAACACTTACCCAGGGGAAGCTTGGAAAGCGATTGTGCTGGTGGGCACTGGGAGAATGCAAGTCTCACCACTGCCTGAGATTGCTCCCCTCTCCACGCTCTCAGAATTACATGCCCTCCCATCCCTGTGAAAGGGAGCGATAGTCTGGTCCTGCGCCTGGTTCCATCGCTATCATTCCACATTGGCCACTTCCTCAAGTTATGCTTCCCTATCTCACCCCCACCTTGGATCAATAAGTCAGGGGTTTTTTTTACCCCGTTCCAATCAGATCATTCACCCTAGCCTCATTGCCTCAAGAGTATATCAAGAATTCAAAGCACCTATGCTTAGGTTAGGGTGGTTATATGGTAGTTAAGGGGGTAAGAGAAATCTTGTCTGTTAGGCTGCCAACGATATGCATCAAACCTCTGAGTGACGAAGAGTCAATCACCCAGATTACTTACCTTCATTGCGACGGTCACCCCTTCTGTTTGGGGCCATCATTTCCATGAACATCATCTAAAAGTAAAGACATCTTTAAAAGGGATATATACCGAGCTGTCAAAGTAAGCAGCAGTCAAAGGCAGCCTTTTGGATTTGCTATGATTTTATCTCGTTTAAAGTAACTCAGTTTGGGAAAAACATCACTGAACCAGCCTAAGGAAATATGAGTACTGAAAAAGGGACAGCCAGTCCAAGAGGAAACTGGCTTGGTAGCCCTGGTTGGCATGCAGGGAAATCCCCTTTAAAATGGGACCCTGGAAATAGAGGCCCCCCCCCCCCCCGCCAAATCAAGAGGAGCTTTTCAAAGGTATCCTGTTGTTAATTAGAGCCTCTGAAACCAATGAGATTAGGGACCTTGGCTTGGAGCCTTTGGGGTTTTCTAAAAGCCTGAACAGTTTATACCAGTCACTCTCTTCCTGCCTGCCAGTAGCATTACATGGCCATAAGCCTGAGCTTGCCCCCCTGAAGTCACTGGGAATTTTGTTGGAAGACGACTGATCCCCACACCAGGCCATTTATGGTAACAAACATATGGCCAGAGAAATTCTCCGTTCCAAGCCAGCTTCTCTGATGCTGTGCAACACTTCCAACCAACCCCACCCACAAGCAAGCAGGAATTCTCCCCTCTCCTGTTGCTACAGAGACACGTGCTCTGTGGTTCTAACTGACTTCACTGGTGCCCAGGCTGGCCCTTCAGCCAATCCATGGCAAGACTGCCTCACCCTGGTTCGGCTAAGCTAGCATTTGTGGTGTGACCGGGAAGGACAGGGTAGATGTGCCCCCTCATCCCACTCCCAACACCTATTCACAGCATGCCGGGCTGGGAACTCCTGATTTAAACCATAACCTCCAAAGGCAGATTTGCAGGGCACCTTTTGCAGAAAGAAACTTATTTCTCTTTTTCTCTGGCATCACTTCCCTTTGGCTTTTATGCTTCATGAATACTATAGCAACTGTGTTTCCTGACAGGAATAATGACTGCAATTGACATTTTTAAATGACTGTTAAAGAGTATTCACCGAAAGGACTCTTCTCCAAAAAGTGAGTATTTACACTGAAACCCCACTGTAGGAGTCATGTTAGTCAGGGCACAGAACCAATGCTCCAAATTTACCCACATAGCTTGAATTTTAAACACTCAAATTGCACTGCTTCCATGCTACAGATTGTGAATTCCTAGAACGTATTCTCCGAACAGTTTGGAATAGGGACTGAACACAAGAACATCACAAGCTATTCTGACAAATTAAAGATGCTGAAGTTTGAATCTTATTTGCTCCAAGTTATTCATTGTGCTCTAACATTTAACCAATGGCACGGTAGAAGGGTTCGGCCGGGTTCGGCCCTCTCCGGGGGGTGGGGAACCAGACCGCCTCACTACGTCTGTCAGGTTATTTCAGGGGAACTAGCCTGGCCGCAGGGTTTCACGCCGCGGCAACAGTAGAGACCAACAAACAGCTCGATTCCACAGACCCAGGCCCTAGTTCAGGCAGGGCAGTCGAGAGTCCCATATGCAGGGGCTGAGCAAACAAATGAGTTCAGGAGGCCTAGGCCCTGGCTCCGAAGGGCCTGGGAGAGGGGGAGACGGCCACCCGTATGTTGGGTGCCAGGGGGGACGCAGGCCCACCCACTCCCCTGCGTCCCAGCCCGGGGCCCTAACAGCAGCAGATGGCCCGCTGCTGTGTCAGTGGGGATCCTGACCGCAACACACTGACATCGGCTCTGGGTGTGCTGCAGCCAGACTAGGGTCGGCTGCCCCCGGGCTACTTCCTACCTCCCCCTCTAGAGGTACCTGCATCTGGACGGTGTCCTCCAAGGAATCGAGCACCATGGGCTCCTCCGGGTACCCGGCGAGCGGCAGGCTTGGCAGCTCCTCGGGGTAACTTGCCACAGGCAGGCTTAACAGCTTCTCCGGGGCCTGGTCGGCATCAGGCCTCGGCTGGTCTGGCTAGTCCTCGGGTTGATCGCAGACTGCAGGAATCTCCCAACCAGGAGCTAGGTCACAAGCGTCTGGCTTCTCTGACGGCTGGGGCTCTAGTGAGCTCTGGGATTGGGCTTTTGTACTTCCTGTCCTGCGCCCTGACCTCTAGAGGGCGGGCGCAAACTCCACTGGCTCCGCCCACTTTGGCATCCGGAGGGGCTCATCCCTCTCCAGGGCAGCTGGGAACCAGACCGCCTCGCTACAGGCACAAGTTATCCCCATACTCTGGCACTATAAGCTGTTGCCTGAAATGCAAACTTCATTTCTGAATATAATTATTGGGCCCAACTTTAAACACCATGACAATTAACAAAAAACAGAGTGGTGCAAAATGTTCATACACCAAATGTAACAAAATCAGAAAAGCAAGGTGCAGAATGAGTTATACCCAGAAAGGGACATAAAACACAATAAGGGCTTGTCTATACTTAAAGTACTGCAGCAGTATAGCTAGGAATTCTCCCATAAGCCTACCTCTGTCTACACTGGGGATTAGATCAGTTTAACTGCATCACTAAGGGGTGTGGATTTTTCACATCCCTGAGCCATGTAGTTATACCAACCTAATTTCCTCATGTAGACCAGTCCTAAGAAAAGGTTCTGTAAATACACAGGAACAAGAGAAAGACAAAGGAGAATGTAGGTCTGCTACTAAGTGGGCAAGGATAGCTAATAATGGAGGACATCAAGAGGCCTTAGGTGTTTCATACCTATTTTGCTTCAGTCTTCACTAAAAAGACTTAATTGTGACCAGAAGCTTAACAATTAATATTAACAAGCTGGAAGGAACACAAGCCAGGATAAGGAAAGAACAGGTTAAAGAATATTTAGGTAAGTTAGATGTTTTCCAGTCGGCAGGGCCTGACACAATCCACTGTAAGGTACTTCTGGAACTTGCTGATGCAAAGCGATTATCTTTGTGAATTCACGAAGAATGGGGGAGATCCCAGAGAACTGGAGAAGAGCAAACATAGTACCCATCTTTAAAGGGGGGAATAAAGATGATCCAATCAGCCTAACTTTGATACCTGCAAGGTTACTTGAACAAATATTAATTTAACAATCAATTTGTGAGCACCTAGAGGCTGATAGAGTAATAAGGAATAGCCAGCATGAATTTGTCAAGAGCAAATCATGCCAACTTAATTTCCTTTGGCCTAGTGGATGGCCGGGAAGCAGTAGACATGATATATATTGATTTTAATAAGGCTTTTGACAAAGTCCCAAATGACATTCTCATAAACAAGCAGGGATAGTGTGGCCTAGATGAAATGACTGCCAGGTGGGTGGCACAACTGGTTGAAGAACAGTACTTAAAGAGTAGTTATCTATGGTTTACTGTCACACTGGGAGGATGCCTTTAGTGGAGTCTCGCAGAGGTCCGTCCTAGGTCTAGTACTGTTCAATATTTTTGTTAAAGACTAGGATAATGGAGTGGAGAGTATCTTATAAAATGTGTGGGGGACACCAACCTGTAAGGGGTTGTGAGCACATTGGAGTACAGGATTAGAATTCAAAACGGCCTAGACAAATTGGAGAATTGATCTGAAATCAGCAGGATGAAATTCAATAAAGACTAGTGCAAAGTACTACAGTTGGGGGCAGGGAGGGGGAATCAAATGTACAACTACAAAATGGGGAATGACTGGGTAGGTGGTAGTACTACTGAAAATGATCTGGGGGTTATAATGGGTCACAAATGGCATACGAGTCAGTATGATGCAATCTCAGAAAAAGCTAATATTCTAGGGTGTATTAACAGGAGTGCTGTAAGACACAGGCGGTAACTGCTGCTCTGCTCAGCGCTGGTGAGGCCTCGGCTGGAGTGTTGTGTCCAGTTTTGGGCACCACACTTTAGAAAAGATGTGGACAAACTGGAGAGAATCCAGAGAAGAACAACAAAAGTGATAAGAGGTTTGGAAAACCTGACCTATGAGTAGGCTTGGCCAAGTTTGAAATTAAAAAAACCTATGGATAATCTCAATGTTTATTTTTAAGCATTTTTTCTATTTTTATTTATTGAAATGTTCACAGTTGCAGGAAATTATGGGGGAATCAGACAATGCCTGGTTAAAGACAGTAGACCGATATAAAAAGTGAAAGCTTTGTAATAGTTTAAACACAAATCGCCAATATCACATGTCAAAATATACAACTAAGAAATTCTGAAGCAGCATTTTTCTTACTTTGCCTATCTGTACATTTTGATTATTATTGATGGAAATATTTTTTTGTCGGTTTGTGTGTAGCCAATGAAATTGACATTTACTGACAAAAATCTAATCCTTCCGAGCCTACCTATGAGGAAAGGTTAAAAAAACTGGTCATGTTTAGTACTGAGAAAGAGAGACTGGGGCGGAGGGGTGGGGAGAGGACCTGATAGCCTTCAAATATGTTAAGGGCTGTTATAAAGAAGATGGTGACCAATTGCTCTCTGTCTTCACTGAAGGTAGGACAAGATATAATGAGTTTAATCTGCAGCAAGGAAGATTTCGATTAGATTTGAGGAAAATTTTAGGGATGGACTAGATAGGGCCCTTTCCCCCAGACATTTCTATAATTCTATGACACCATCCAGAACTCAGCTGCTTTCTTGCTTTGTTACAATCTGGAAATGCAGGAACATGTTTGTCCAGCAGTGGGAAAATTGGCACCCAGATGAACCTGGTTTTGCATCAAAGTCTTTGAAAATGTGCACATTTGCATGGTTTTGAAACAGCCAAGTGGAGCTCAGCTGTTTTGATCCAACTTTTTACTCAAGTCTAGGAATCGAGCGAGGCAGATCAAAACCAAAGAAGGATGTGGAACAGTTCCCAGAGTGAAAGTGCTTTAGTTATAACAAGAAGTGCTTGGACTAGTGATGACTTGAACAGCAAAACAGAAGAGTAGGTGAATAAATTGTATTTGTTTCTGACTATTAGAGCTGCATATTTGCATCTCTATGTTCATGCCTACAAATACTATGCAGGACAACGTAGAATTAGAGTCTGCAACTCACGTTCTCCCATGGCATCCATCACGGAAAATCAAAGATCCCAGCAGATCTGGGGTGATGCATAAGACAAAATAGCCAAGTTCCAGACCCGGAGAGGGGAACAGAGCCCTGTCGGGAGAGGCAGTTTTTGTTCTTTGTTGGCGGTGTGCTGAAGGGCTGTTTTCCCCCATAAAGCGATCACCACTTTTGTCTCTGTCATTCACTGCTTCAGTGGAATGATCTATGAAGGCAGAGTGTCTTCAGATATGCATGTGCAACTCCTAGTCAGGTTAGCGGAAGCCGAGCCCATGTGCCCCCGAGGTGGAATTTTCCTTAAGACGAAGCTGCATAGCAAAAGCAAATTCTCCGCTTACTTACCTCCTCGCTGCTTGAGGATTCTGAGCTGGACCCATCCTGGCTGCAGTAAACTGCCAAGTTCTGTATCTGCTCTTCAGAGACCCGCACTGTACTTCTGCAGAAGGCCGTTTGCTGTAACAGATCAAAATAGAGTTCACCCATGCAGCTATGGAGGCTATGGCATAAGCCTACTGGCACTGTCTGGAGAACAAGTTTCAATGAAAAGTCATACAGCTTTTTGATAGCCAGCTACCAAGAGCAGGGACCTGAGAGAGCACATTGTTCACAACCCTGGATTAGCCTTTGGTTCTGGTCTTCCAGCAAAACTTATTTGTGGCAGTTCAGTGTAGTCACCAGTCTCTTGAGTCTTTCCATTTTTGAACTGGGCGTGTCTGGCTTTCATGCTCCTGAAAGACATCACCCCCACGCCCTGGAGACTGTTGCCCTCTGCCCAACCACAAATAGGTGCAGCATGGACAGCGCTAAGGTGAGGTGCCTCACACCTTGCTTCCCCAGTGTTCCTCAGCCCCCACAGAAGGAACTCCTCCAGGGCAGGGAGAATATCAGTCCCTTCTGATCCACCCAATAATTTAGTCTTCTGAAGGCTGTAGTGTTTGGTCTAATTCTGGTTGTTGGGCTGGGTGGTGTTTAGTGGCCAGTCATACAGGCGGTCAGACTCAATGATCTGGTGGGCCCTTCTGGCTTTAAACTCTATGACCATCTACATTTCAGAGGCCCTTTTCATCCCTTTGGTTCTCTGAGATCGCAGATGGGGAGCCATACGGTGCTGAGCTGGTGGTAGTCCCATTTTTTTTTAAATTACTTCTTTAATCACCAGACTGGAGGCTTTAATGATTAAGTGGTAGTTTCACACAAACTGAAGCACAACTAACACCTATTTTAGGTGATGGGGTACTGTAGGAGTGCCCTTAGCTCCCTCCTGGTGATATTTTGATACTGTACTTTCATACTTTTGCACGTTTATTAGGGTTGCCTGTAAGCGACACAAAGCAGAGAAGACAGTTTGAAATTCCTATTCCCTCAGTTGGGGGAACTTTCGTGTACTTTACCTGACCGAGCTGAGTAAGGACACAATCGCAGACATACACACATGCATCAAATTCAGCCACTGGATAGGGACTCCCCTAAATGATAAAATCCACTGACTAGTTGCCAATGGACTTGGGTGTGGCCCTGTGATGGACTTCAGTTGGCCTGGTAACAAGTGTTGCCTGATAGAAGATTCGGAGTCCTACGGGCTGCTCTGCTCTATGCCAGGGAACAGGCCAGCATATAGCTCAGCTCAGGAGCGGGAGACTGTGTACAGAGGTGGCTTTAAGCCACATTTCCTTCCACTCCCAGCCTGGGGCTAGCTGGTTGAGTGACCATCAGATAAGCATTGATTTTTACTGAATCCTAAATATCCTCAAACAGCAGCTTGGTGTTCATATTATGCTCATCCAGGTAGCAGACCAGCTACATGGGGGACTACCCTGGGATGCAGGGCGGACTTGGACATCATGGTGTCCACCATGAACTTGAACTTCCAGAGTGATAGCATGGCCCAAAGGGTTGATGTGATCCTTGGGATGTATAAACAGGGGAATCATGAGTAGGAGTAGAGAGGTTCTATTCTCCCTATGTTTGGCACTGGTATGACTGCTACTGGAATCCTGTGTCCAGTTCTGTCGTCTCTAATTTCTCAATATCCTTCGGGAATTGTTGAGGATTCAGAAAAGAGCCATGAGAATGATTAAAGGACTGGAAAACTCAAGGAGCTCAATCAGAAGGTTAAGGGATGACTTGGTCAGCATCAAAGTACTTACACAGGTAACGGACCATTTGATAACAGAGGGCTCCTCAATCTAGTTGACAAAAGATACAACATCCAATGCCTGGAAGTTGAAACTACATCAGTTCAGACAAGAAAAAAGAAGTGTCTCTTAACAATGAGGAGAATTAACCATTGGAACAATTTACCAAGGGTTGTGCTGGATTCTCCATCACAGGCAATTTTTAAATCAAGCTTGGCTGCTTTTCTAAAAGATCTGCTCTAGTTCAAACAGGAATTAATTCAGGGAAGTTTTCTGGCCTGGGTTCCACCCACAAGGGGTCATTCTCGATGATCACAATGGTCCCTTCTGGCCTTGGAATTTATGAATATGCTCATCGTGGAGAGGAAGATGCAGGAGCAATTTTTCAGTCGGGTATTTTTTGCTGTGAAAAAAACATCTTAACTACGCCTGTGTTGTTAAGTAAGGCAATGTAAAATAATGAAGATGGGCTTGGTCTGGTCCTTTCTAACGTGGCATGGAATACCCCCCTTTCTCCCACCCTGTGCATGTTGAGCAGGGAGGAGTCTACAGCAGGTTATGTATTGTGGCCAGTCCTCAAATGTCATATACTTAATGCTTCAAACCAAGTATTTGCTTAGCAAAGGCCTTGAATGATCAGCACAAAAGCTGACCGATTCCCAGGCCATGTTCAATCACACAGAGGGTGTTTTCCATGCTAGGAGACCTGGCATGCTTACCACATAGCGTCCCACTCTGAAGTCACACAAGGACGGATCCTTCTCTGAATCTTTAGTGCAGGTGGTTTCTCGAACAATGAAGTCCAGCACTATACTGTAGTCATTGTTATCCAACAGGTCAACCTGTATAAGAAGGAAAGGCCAATAGCATGTGTGATTGCTGCTTGGGTTTTTTTCCCCTGTGTAAAGTACTCGGTACTACTGCCTCTTTGCCAAACTGTGGCAGAAATCAGGGCCTTGAGAGTCAGTATCCAACCAAGGGTCCTGTGGCACCTTTAAGACTAACAGAAGTATTGGGAGCATAAGCTTTCGTGGGTAAGAACCTCACTCTTGCATCTGAAGAAGTGAGGTTCTTACCCACGAAAGCTTATGCTCCCAATATTTCTGTTAGTCTTAAAGGTGCCACAGGACCCTCTGTTGCTTTTTACAGACTCAGACTAACACGGCTACCCCTCTGATACTAGTATCCAACCAGAATATCAGGGACTGGAGCAGAATATCAGGGACTGGGTCAGGGTATTTTCTTGTGGACATTTTGTAAATAAACCAGTTACACCACATCTTATTTCCTTGAACAGAGTTGGTAAAAGCTTCACACTAGCAACTCCTCCTGCAGAAGCCTCAGGTAAGGCGTGATGGCCCCAAGCAACACCTGACTCTCTATGGTCTCTCACCAGTGTAAATTGCTTAATTAAACAGTTCCCTTTCTGCCCCAGTCCTGGAATTTTACACCTGGTGCACCCCTGGAGCTCACAGATCTTCCTCTGGGAGTATATGAGCTTTGAAAGAGTCTGGGCATCAGCTCTCCTGGGTGGCTGCTTTGCCATCCAAAAGGAACCTTGGAGCTCTAAGGCTGGGGTGGCCAACCTGTAGCTTCGGAGCCACATGCGGCTCTTCAGAAGTTAATATGCAGCTCCTTGTATAGGCACCGCCTCTGGGGCTGGAGCTACAGACACCAACTTTCCAATGTGCCGGGGGGTGCTCACTGCTCAACCCCTGGCTCTGCCATAGCCCCTGCCCCCACTCCACCACAAACATGTCAGTGACATTCTTTTGACCAGCTCCACACTCACCCCTCTAACGTAGCTCCTGACGACGCCAAACAGGGCTGGCCATTGTGATCTGGAATTCACTCTTCCAATGGAGGCACGCAGAGCTTCTTCTGTGATAGATGGTTCATAGTCATACACTGGCAACCCTGACACAAACATATCACAGGCCCATTAAAACAAGCATTGGTCATTCATCCAGTAAGAATGGATGCTCTTCCTATTTAGAGGAACTTACCAGAACAAGACCAAACACTCATCACAAGGGCAAAAATGAATAAGGTCTTCATGGTTTCTCTGCTGGAAAACCCAACTTTCCCCCTCGAAGCAGCGAACTCTTCCCATCAGCTTTCCAGCATATATTTCTCTGCCTTTATATAATGCAACCTTGATACTCCGCCTGACCTTCCGGTGTCAGAGTTTAGCTACAAACATTGCACTTTAAACAGAAAGGATTGATCTAATGGCAAATATTTGTTAGGCTTTCTAGTGCTTGTGGGATTTCTTCATCAAAGGGGTACTGTCTGCAATACTTCTCCACAAGTCTGCGACCAAATTAGAGACGTCAGGGAGCATCAGAAATACAGCTCCTAACAAGCTCCACGTCCAGTTATATCGGTTTGCTTCTAGCCTTTGCTCTTCAGTTTAAAGCCACTGGATCAGACCTAATCCAGCCCCTTTGCACTACTCCAGAGACAAAGGGTCCACATTCTGGTCCTATTTGGGCAGCAGAGAATTCCCCTGGCATGGGGATTTTTTTGTCCATGTAAAGCTGGTCTGGCCAATTCTTAAGCCACCTCTGCGCCTGGCCCAGGTGTAAAGGATGTGCTGCTGGTGGCAGGGGCATGGCCAGGGCACTGCTGCACTCTGGCTATTGTCAGCTGGCAGACAGTCCTGCCAAGAACCACTGCCAGCTGGTGCAGACTAGAGAAGCCCCTAGGCTGCTCTAACTTTTACCAAGTTTAGAACCAAGCTAAGCAAAGAAATTATGGCCAGAACCAGCTCCCCGATACCCCTCTGATGCTGCAGTAAGCAGATCTGACTTGCAACAGAGTAATTATGGATATTTAGTCAACTTTTAAAGTTAGTGATCTTTGCTCAAGCTCTAAGAGTTTACAGGGTGAAATCGGACACAACAGGAGTTGGACACATGACAGGTCAGCTCACAGATGATTTAAAGCCTTCATGCTTCTATTTTGCCAGAAGGCAGCTAATCAAGAGGTTCATGGGATGTGATTTCAAACATGCCAAAAGCGAAGCGATTAAGTGCCAGTCAATCCTTCAGTTCAGATTATCAGATGTCTGAGGCAGCTCTGGTGCCTGTATCACAGGGAAGCCACCCAACAAGTCTGGGTAAAGTTTTCTAAAGCACCTAAGTAATGTAGGTGCCTCAGTCTCACTAACTTTCAGTGAGAGCTAGAGGGTAAAAGTTTCAAGGGCACTCAAGTGATTTACAAGCCTATCTGGAGTAACGGGACTGTCATGAATGTTATTCTGTGCATTAAGCTAGTGCCCGATACACAATACATTTGCAGATCTGACGGCTAAGATTTCTGACATAGCCTTGAAAACAGCAGGATTATTCTTACCATATAGGTGGCTGAGTCCTCGTTTGACCTTCCTGAACATAGAGGACACAAGGGAACTTGCTAGACAGCTGCATGTCAAGTTCCGGAATGGTCAGAAGCCCAGATTTAATAAGTACTGCAGAAATGAGGGGGAGAAACATTACATTAGATTGCTGGGGGCTGGGACAAACAAGGCTTGGTGGAGTCTATCAGCCCTCAGGACCACTGATCTTGTGTTTCCTGGATAATCCGTCTAGCTGCCTCACACACACCTTGAGCAGGTGAGGTGATGAGACAGAACCTTACCTATCAGAGCCCTCAGAAGCAGCCTCTGGGAACTTGCAAAGAAAGGGCCAGAAACACTCTAGGGGGACTCCATCTGCCGCCAACAGAGCCGGCTCTAGCTTTTTTGCCGCCCCCGGCAAAAAAAAAAAGGCGGCCGGACTGCCAAAGCAAAACAAAAAACATAACAAAAAAACGGCAGCCACAGGGAGCGCGTCGAGGGCGGTCAAGGCGGCTTGCAGGGGCGTGAAGGGCGGCCCGTGGGCAGCCCTCCGGCCTTGGGATGCCTCTCCCGGCCAGGCAGGTAGAGCCCCTGGGGGCTGCAGGAGGTGCTGGCTCAGCCGCTCCTTTAAAGGCGGCTCGGCCGGGCCGGGCTCAGAGCGGCGCGGGAGGCGGAGGCCGGTGCAGGCGGCGGGGAGTGGTGCGTCCCGGGGACCCCGGCGGCACGATGAGCGGCGGGGATTGCTAGTTCGTGCCCCTGCAGGGCTGGGCTGGGCTGGCCGCCCCCAAAATTGGCCAGAATGCCGCCCCTTACAATGTGCCGCCCCAGGCACGTGCTTTCTCGTCTGGTGCCTGGAGCCGGCCCTGGCCGCCAACACCACCACTAACACCTCAAGGCAGTTAACCAATCAGCAAAGACTTCCTTAACCACATTGCTCAGAGTACCTTCCCAGCTGAGCAAATGCTCACGACAATTGTCAACCCCCAAAATGGGTAGCAGGAATGACAAATATGGACAAGAGGCCACGACTTCATTAAATATGGTCTCAGAAATAGGTGGGGATAAAAGGGAATCAACCTTCATGCTTAATCTCACTTTATAGGGAACCCACAGCCCCCCAGATTCGTGAGTATAAGGGACACCGTCTCTGCTGTTATTCTCATATTGTTTTTCTAGTTCTGTAATTTTGCTTATATTGATTGTGGTATTAATAAAACTCAGCCTCTGCTGAGTTTAATCTCTGATCATTAATCTCTATGGAGCCACCAAAGAACAAACCTGTTATTAGCAACAAGTTCATTTGCAACCCCAATTAATAATGAAGCTACCCTTGGGAGATCTGGGTATGAGTCCCTGCTCCACCGCAGACCGTGGGACCTTGGGTGAGTCACTTTGCATCTCCGTGCTTCAGTTCCCCATCTGTACAATGGAGATAATAGAGCTGCCCAAACTCACAGGGGGGTCGTGAAGATTCACAATCCCTAGTTTGGGTAGCACTTTGAAATCTACTGATGAAAAGTGCTATGAAAGAGCTAGGCATTATTGTTACAGTATGCCATACAGGAGTGGCACACAGCAATGCTGTTAAGAGTTTGAACTCCCCCCAGCTCTTGCTACCCAGTGTGGATCAGGGATATAAAAAGATTAGTACTCCCCTCATGTAACAGAGGTCAGTATCCACTAGCTCCAGTACCCGTGACACTGCAGGCAGGCTGTTGCAAGCTTCCTCCTCCCAAGTGGACGTCACACCGTAATCCAGTCTTTTTACCCTGAACTACTGCAAACCCGGGCATGTCTAGAACAAGGCCATGCTGCAGTCTGTCCAACTGGAGACTGGCTTTGCTGTGCCACAGAGATACAGTACATTGCCTGGGCTCTAGAGGAAACTCTTCAGAAGCTTGCTTTGGAGACCAGCTCTTTAATTTTCTCCAAAGTCAGTCAATGCGCCATCTACAGGGTAGCCCCCAGAGGCCATAAGAGAACCAGCAAAATGCAACACACAGGAAAATTAGAGTTCAGACCGTGCCCTCTGGAGTACCAAGCTCAGGATGAGGAGTTAGCATGCACTCGGGATCAGTTAACAATGACTTACTGTGAGACCATGGCAAGTTACATCCCCCATCTCAGAGTCACATCATCTCCGTTTCTCCAGGTGAGAAATAGCAACATTTACCCATCTTAGACAGGTTGAACACATACTGTTCATCCAGGGGGCTGAACGCATAGAATGCCATAGAAATGCCAAGCACCATCATAAAATAAATAGTCATTTCAACAAAGGAATTGATTGAGTGTTTTGAAGATTCCAGTTTTATCACAGCTACAGCGAGACATTCCCCGCGTGGAGATAGGAGAGGTGCCGATGGGTGCTCAGAAATAATTACTTACTGAAATAAAAACTTCCTCTGCCTCTTTCTGGCTTGCCTAGTAAACTTGGACACTGTGCATTTCATCTACCTGAAGTTCGGCTCATTAAGTCTGTAATGAGCTCGGTAAATATTTCCCCCGTGTCTCGGTCGATACTTTAGACACTCCAGTAGTTCTTGAAGTTTAGCAAAACTGGTTTTGCTCAAGGTATTAGTAGCAGGCGAGTTTAAGGAGAGGCAAGTTTGGGTTCAGTTGAGATGTCCAACCCCAGATTGACTCTTGGGTCCAGAGGTATTATCGTAAGCAGGGGGATGGGTGAAATTACCCCTCTCCCCACCCAAATATTTCCCCAGCTTTCGGCTTGCTTAAGAAGGGTGGGATGGGGAGTGCAGTTGAGGTGGCTGCTTTGAGCCTTAGGCTCTCCTCCCTCCAGCTAGCTGGCTAAAAGTGGTTCACTTCCTGGCCTCAGCAGGAATCTCACTGCAGCATCCTGCCAGCAAGGGCCGTTCCACCCCACTCCTGGTTAGGCAGGCGGTCAGCAGAGAGCTTCTCTTCAGTTAGCCCAGCTCTTTCCCTGCCCTTCCAAAGGAGCCAAGAGCTAGTGAGGCAGAGGTAGCCTGGCATCTGGCCCCACAGGAGGGAGCTGGGCCAGTCAAGAAGAAGTCAGCCACCACGAGCAGCTTCTCCACCCTTTAGGAGACAGGTAGCTGCAAGGTGGGTGGGAAGGAAGGACTCCTAGAAGGAAAGGAACGTTTTGGGGGCACCAGTAGAATTTGGGGGGTGTTGATCTTTGGTGGGGATGGGATGAACTAGAAGTACAAGACAGAAGGGACCTGTGGTGGGGAAGGGAGATGGGGGCCGGCACAAGAGAACTGGGAGAGGATACAGGAGGTAGCTTGTGGAGAGAGAACTCTTTAGGGAGGCACCCCAAGAGGATGGGGGGGGGAAGGAGTGGGCCACACGCATGGGGGACTCTGATGAAGCAAGGGCAGGAACCATGGGAGAGATAAGGGATGGGTACAGGGAGAGCTGGGAAAAGACTCTCAGAAATCTGGAGGAAGGGAGGAGGAATCTTGTCTACAAGTAGAAGAATGGAAAGAAACAGGGGACACCGGGGGGAGGGAAAAGGAAGTCTGTGGCAGGGCTGGGAAGCCAACCTCATTCTCCCAAGTCACAGACCAGAGGCTTATCCATTGAAGAAGTAGAAAGGAAGATCTGAAGGGTTCTGCTCAGATCTGTTGCAGAAGTCCAGCCAGTTCACCCATCACTCTTACGAGCTCTGCCTTTCAAAGTGAAGTAGGTCTGACAGCCCCCAGCACACTGCCTATGAACTAGAGACTGCCCTAAACTAGACTCATGATTTAAACATACCTGAATTTAGGAAGGTTGTTGTAATTTGAATTTAGATCCAGATTGAAGTTTAAGTGTGGC